TGACATAGTGACACCCACCTGAAACTTATTCTGTGGGTTTGAAATAGCGAAATAGCTATAAATTTTGTCACCAAGAGTGTCACCAAGAATTTTTTATCACTAAAACTTTTTGATGATACTCATCAAGTTGTATTATTTTTGTTTACCTCTATATTACCTACTGTTATCTGCGTCGAAGCCAAGTCAGCTAGCTTTTTCCGATAGTACTGTTCCATTTTACGATGTTTTCTTGCATGAATATCACAAGTACCATATTTGGAAAAAGTTAATTTATCGCATTCATTGCGAGGGAGAGTTCCAATGAATTTGGCATCCTTCCAGTCGGTAGCATCCCCGATTGCAAACCTCACCACTCCTGAGAATATAAGGACATCAATAAAATACCATTTTTTAATAACTATGGATAGTTGGTTTATGTATTGATTTATATATTTTGGAATTAATTTTTATTTTAAACTTTTTTCTCCTGGAATATATACATTCTCTCGAACTGTATATTTGTGATATAATACCATGATTCAATCTGAGCTTTCAGAGATTTTGGATAGCCTCGCCCTTTTCTAGCCAGAGGCTGGAAAAGATAAAATGGAAGCCTAACTGATTCGCTATTCTGGCAAAAAGTACTTGACGAATTTTCCAACTCTAGATGAAATAGTTAGAGAAAATGGTGATAAAGGATTGTCCGCAATTCTTGAAAATGAAATAGCAAATCATCGTGATATTCTATTTATAGCCATTGAGAATGAAAAGTCAATAGAAAAGATAAATAGAACTTATTGCTATGTATTGTGTCTTTATAGTTGCCTTATTAATAGCTAAAAGGCACTAGTAACTCTTATAGGCATTCAGGTTTTCTTTGACATTCGCGTACCAGATGGAGAAACTCCAGATAAATGCAAAGAAAAGATGATCGAAATTCTCTCTGGCATCGTGAAATCATTTAAAATGGAGCATATTAAAGCATTTCCTTTCCACAGATACTATACTGAAAAAAAACCATATTTACGAATTTATACAAATGGTACTGAAGAGAGAAAGAGAGCCATCAAAGCTGTTCAAGATAATAATTTCGAAATTGCTTCAGATGATTTATACTCATTCCACCAAAAGGTGGCTTAAGAAAATAGAATCCAACTCTCTGGGTGGTCTATAATAAACAAATATATATGCAAAAAAGGCAAATGGACCAGCCTGCTCTGTCTGCATGAATTCTATATGTCTATAAAAGATTTCTGTCTGCTAGAGGATTTTACAACAATAAGTGATCAATTCCCTATTACAGCTCTCTTACGGGATCGTACTCTTGTCCTCATGTGGGATATAGAGATGCAATCACAAGAGTTGGGTGAATTTCTCGAAGTCCTTGATCTGAATCATAATGTTTTTATGATTTGTATAACATTGCATTGGAAAGATGATCCAAAACCACTAAAGCAAATATGTCTTGTCGATGTTGAGACAGAACCAGATCCATGCTGAACTACAATCATTTGTGGAAACCAAGAAAATTTGCTGAAAGCGTTTGCCCTCTGCTGGTGAGTATTTGCACCTGATATCCAAGCTGGGTTTAATGATTCTAACTATGATTGGTGTTTTATTATGGAGAGAGCATATCAACTTGATATACTCAAATGGATATGAGAGCAAATGACAGGAAAGTTTGAAGCAAAGGAAAAAATCCTAAAATGGAAATATCGCAGAAAGATAGGAGTGAAATCTGAAAATGTTTTTAAGGCAAAGAATGCTATTAAGCCTCCTGAGGAAGGCGAGAAGGATCCAGAGGAAAAAGAATATATAGACGGTCCAATTAAAATCAAAATTAGTGCGGAAGAGGATTTTATTTCTAGCTTCCTTAAACTGCCAGGTTATATACCAATTGATGCCCGGGTGTGCCTTAAAAGACGGTTCTCTCATTCTGAAGTTGAAAAGGAAGGCTTACTTAAATTCTTCTTAGAAAAATACGGTTTTAAGACTAAGGCCGACATGCTATACGATAAAATGTGGAAAATCTATTCAGAAGCGAAAAAAAGCTCCTTCTCGTCAACTACAAGAAATATGCGTGAAGTAGCACATTACTGTATTATAGATGCACTATGCTGTCAAGAGCTTTTGGTCAAGCTAAGTCAAATAAATGATTACAGAGAAGTCGCTTCAATAGCTTATGTATCTTTATTTGACTCACACTACCGTGCGAATGGAATGAAGGTACAAAACCTTCTGGGTGTTTATGCTTTTAAACAAGATATGGTAATTAGCATAAGGATACCTGAAAACACAGAAAAGGGTAAGTATCCTGGCGCGTACGTATTTCCACCTAAAAAAGGGATTGAAACGAGAAGACCTGTAATAGAATTAGATTTTGCTTCATTATATCCCAGTCTCATCATGGCTTACAATCTCTCTCCAGATAAAATAATACTAATACATAGAGAGGCTAATATTGTGCAAAATAATGGAAGCAAGTTGCATAAGATTGAGTTTCTATTTAATAACCGCACTATCCAAGCTTGAAGTGTAAGGCATGATAATCAATTCGAAAAGAAGAGTTTATATCCTGTTGTATTAGAGGATTTATTCAACAAGAGAGTAGAGTTTAAAGCACATCTTGCCTCATTAGGAAAGAAGAAGGAATGACTTGGGAAGATGATAAGTTCAGCTAAAAAAAGAGGCAAAAGGATTCCAAAGAGTTTAAATTTAGAATATTTATCTGTATACTTCGATTACGATTATTTTGATTCGAAGCAAAAAGCTCTGAAGGTATATATGAATACTTTGTATGGGGAGGCCGGAAACTCAAAATCTCCAATCTTTATTCATGCATTAGCTAGAGAAACTACTTTAGCAGAAAAATACAACCTTAATCTTGTGGCAGAATTCGTAACAAAGAAAGAGTTTGGGATAAAATACGGTGATACTCATCAGCAAAAATATATATGCATAAACTTTCGTAAGTTTTTACGGTGCGTAAGAAAATCGTAAACTTACGTAAAAT